CTGCTGAGCCCAGGCTGCCAGGTGGCTGCAGCAGACTGTGGTTCAGCTCCTTGCCCAACAGGAGCATCGTGCTCTGGGGAGGGTGGAAAGGTGGGAAAGGGAAATATTTCACCTGGGGTGCTGTTCCTAGCTCCACTGACTGCAGTGGGATTGGATATCTTCACCTCCTCACTGCAGGAAGTGGGGCAGGAGGCAACCCAGGGAAAGCCAGCACAGCCAAGGGAGGCAAGCACGAGCCAAGGCAGGACATTCTTGCTCCATTCTGACCAAGGTCTTGCTTGAAGAAGCCTCTCCTCTTGCTACCACAAGAAAAAAAAATAAATAAAGGTGGATTTGAGGAATAGGATCTGCTTTGGGCTGTGGTCACCAACTTGATCTCTCGCAGCCCCCAGGTGTGCAGGGGGGCTGGGACATTTCCCCCCCAAGGGCTGTAGGAAGCTACATCACTGTCATTTCTGCTTCAGATGAAGCTTGCAGACCTGATTTTTCACTTCCAGTGGGCACAGTGGTTTCAGTTCATGTCTTGGAGGAAGAACAGGCTGGGAGTGACCAGGGAGGGAGTTCCAGGCAAGCTGGCCCATAAACCCCTCCTCAGCCAGGGCCTTTTGGACTCATCATCCCTCCAGCCTGTGCCCCACTGTGCCCACAGGACCATCCCTTCCTCCCAGCTCCATCCTTCACAGAGGAGTTTTGCAGAGCATGGGCACCATGCTGGTGCTGGGGGGATGAGAGAAGCCCAGTGTTGGTGGAAGGGGGGTTCCTGTGTCCTCTCCAGCCCCACTCTTAGCTGCTCTCAACCCATGAGGAGCATTTCCACAGGCAGAAACCAGCCACCAACCCCAGGTGGCCCAGGCCAGCACACAGAGGGTTAAGCCTCTGCCATTTGTGCCTCTAATGATTATATGCACTGTAATATCAAAGCTGGAGCTATTTATTTGCCATTGAGCAGGTGCTGCTGCTCCCACAAAGCAAATTTGCTTTCTCCTCCTGATGAAACAAGCAAAATAAAGGTTGCTCACGTCCCATTTCAGACAGGTTTTTTTTCTCCCTGCTCAGTAGCTGAAAGGCAAACACTGAGAGGAAACCAGAATGCATATTATGCAAGAAACCATATAATCTAAGAGCATCTTTGATTTGGCTGCTGCTGTCACAGGCATGTATTTCACAGAGAGAGAGGTTTTTTCACCTCCCCCCCCACCCCTCCCTTCTTTTGTTCTTACTGGTTTATCATTTGTGCCTTTGTCATTTTGTTCCTTCTTCTCTTCTCAGCCTCTTCACAATGAATCTTCATTTTCCCTCTGACACACTTGTATCTAAATTTCCTTATTTCCTGCCTTTTTTTATTTATATCTGTTGCCTGGTGATTTGATCATGCTGTGGAATACAGGATTAGCAATCTCTGTGTCCTTGGGTACTGCTCAAGGACACCTGTTCAGCAAAGCCCTGTTTTCTTCCTCATTTTAACCCCTTCCAGTGTGGCCACACAGTAATAAACACTGTTCCTGTGGTGTGACAGTAATAACTAACAATACCTTGAGGTATCTCCAGCCCTGCATTAGCAGGACCTTGTCATCTTCATTCCTCAACAGCTGGTGTGGCCTTTTCTAAGGAGCTTATGTGGGAAGCTGAAGATTCAGGGAGGGGAAAAAAATAGTCATATGTCCTCTTTGAACTTTGCAAGTAGTTTAGCAGCTGTTCCTGGAGAGATAGACTTTGGTGGAAAGTGAGATGTTAACTCAGCCTTCCTCCTCAAATTGGCTGCCTGTGGTACCAATCCACCTGCAGGTCTGGGTCCCTGCTCCAGGCTCCCAGAATCCTGTCCCTGGGTGTTGGGTTTTTCCCTGAGCAGGTACAGACCATCAAACAGGTTTACCAGGACTTCTGAGTTGATAGAAATTAGAAGAATGTGGCACTAAGTTGGTGCAAACTCTGTGGGCTCACGAGAAAGGATTTATCCTTTGTTGAAGCTACTCAAGAGGAGCCCAAGATGGTCCAAGGGGTTGACACAGGCTGAGAGTTGGGGTGTTCAGCCTGGAGAAGAGAAGGCTCCAGGGAGACCTTAGAGCACCTTCCAGGGCCTGAAGGGGCTCCAGGAAAGCTGGGGAGGGGCTTGGGACAAGGGCAGGGAGGGAGAGGACAAGGGGGATGGATTAAAACTGGAGGAGGGGAGATTTAGGTGAGACATGAGGAGGAAATTCTTCCCTGTGAGGGTGGTGAGAGCCTGGCCCAGGTTGCCCAGGGAAGCTGTGGCTGCCCCATCCCTGGCAGTGTTGAAGGGCAGGTTGGATGGGGCTTGGAGCAGCCTGGGCTGGTGGGAGGGGTCCCTGCCCATGCAGGGGGGTGGGGCTGCATGATCTATAAGGGCCCTTCCAACCCAAATCATTCCATGATTCTATGATTTGGGGGGAAAAGGACACTGGTTTGGAGGCAGGTGATGATGGAGCATGGAGAACCCTGCTAAACTTCCCTAGAAGCTGCTTATTTTCATTAGGAAATCCAACTACAGTTTCAAAGCATTGGGTTGTTTTTTTTTCCCAGATCCCAGAAACTCAAAGTAGAGATTTTAGGAAGTTTCTGAGCAATCAGTTGAGTGAACCTCAGGCTAAGCCAGGGCTTCCCATCCTGAGTGAGTAGAAGCAAAGTTGGACAAAATCAGCTTTTCCAGTTGAGCTGGTGAGTCTGACCCATGGGGACACAAAGGCACTGGAATCCT